ACTAAAATTTCTTTGTCCTGATTGGTCAAATTTCAATCTTCAATACATAGTCTAAAGCCCGTATCAAACTACGCATTGAAAATTGAAGATTGAAGATTAAGGATTGAAATTTGATTAATCAGAACAAATGGGACTAAAATTTCTTTGTCCTGATTGGTCAAATTTCAATCTTCAATACATACACTAAAGCCCGTATCAGACTACGCATTGAAAATTGAAGATTGAAGATTAAAGATTGAAATTTGACTAATCAGAACAAAAGGGACTGAAATTTCTATGTCCTGATTGCTCAAATTTCAATCTTCGATCTTCAATCTTGATCTTCAATGCGTAGTCTGATACGGGCTTAAGGCGGTAGCGTGTCCGACTTACATGCCCGTGGTCGCAGGTTCGATCCCTATACGTTGTCATTTTTTTCTTTTTTGTTTTTCATCCGAATAATCATCCAATAACAGGTAAGAAAATTTTCATATATATAACTACTTGGAAAACTTTGGGACGCTTTTTCTTGGAATTGGCTGGATAGTGCGCCCTATGACTTTAATATATTTACACCCTAAGGGTACACTACCACCACACGAAGGCTGATCCCAAACTGAAATTCCCAACCCGTGCGGTGCGTTCCTCTTGTTAGATACTTTAGTATGAGGATCCCGCGTGCCACTTTTCGCCGCTAGAGGCGCCAGTGAGGAGTGCATCTATTATGGCTGCCGGCTTTTCATATTTAATACAAAGGATAACAGGTAATAAAAGAGCCAGCGCGGTATAAAAAGCGCAAAAAAATAATTTAAAAAATATTAAAATATCAACTAAAGAAAGCAAACGGTTTCGTGGACCCTTTCTTGGATCTTCATCAACGCATTACTAAATAGGTATACTTAAGTTACATATAAATTGGAATCATAAAAAATAGTTTGGAGGCACGTGAATAAAAAGTTGGTGTGAAGATATTATTGTAATCAAATTCAAACGCAATCAAAGATCATCATTCATTAGGCGCGTTCCTCTACGGTTAGATGATGATCTTTGATTGCGTTTGAATTTGACTATGATGACATCTCCACACCGACTTTTTATTCACGTACCTCAGAAATATTTTTTACGGCTCTTATATGTAACTTATCGTTTAGTAATGCGCTAATGAAAGTCTAAAAAAGGGACCGAAACGTTCGCTTCTTTAGTTGATATTTTAATATTCTTTTATTATTTGTTTGCGCTTTTTATACCGCGCTGGCTTTTTTATTACCTGTTATCCTTTGTATTAATCATCATTATCGGAACCTTATGGAAATTATTTGATTTTATTTTCACCTTTACATAATACACGGTCACGTTTGTTTGTATCCAAATTAGTAATTATGCCGATGTGTGGTGTGTTTGGGTGCACGAAAAAGAGGGACATCGTTTTCCCAATGATCCGCAGCTTCGCAGAAAGTAGATTGAAGCCATTAAAAGGAAAAAATTTGAGCCGAGCGTACGTGCTTTTTTCCTTTTAACAAAACACCTCTTTTCCGGAGCTTGTTCTTCAACATTACCATAGTAAAATTTTCGTACATTATGGTGTTCGTATTTTTATTTCACTTATTTTCGAAATTGCTAATAAAAGAATTTAACTTGCTGCGAGAAACAGACTCCGCACCATGCCAAACATTCTCGCTCTAATTAATTTCTCTATTATAATTTCTGGCATAAGTCTTCAAAAATAAATATGGCCAAGAATTAATTTTATTAATAATATATCACAGCTTGGCCAGAAGACTTGGTCTATGTTGCGATGTAATACGTTTGGGTTCTCCTACTTCTCACTTCTTTATCGTTTGGAAACCAAACTTGTAAGTATAATATTAGAATTGGACTTACATCTGAACTATTCGGTATTTATTTTTATACTTTTATCATACGCACACATATGTATATAGTTTTTTATTGTTTACAGTGCCACGTATAGTTCAAGAAATGCAAGTTGTTTTAACATAAGTTCTAAGAAATTCTTGCCTTATTATCTTGGTGTCAGGGAACTGCTATACAGGACGCATTCAAATTTTGAATACCTCGATGAATTAAGAGTTGGACGGGTTGGCAATTACTCATACATAATTTTTATTAAGTTTAACACTAATCAATAAACTTGTAATCTTAGCAAAGATATGAGTCAATGAAACACATTTAATAAGCAGAAAGAATTATACAATATTTGATTTTTTCATTTGTAATCAGAGATCTGTTCACACGTTTAATCTTAGCTCATGTTTAATCCTTATTTTCAGTTTTGGCAAGAATTAATATTGTTAGCATTGGTAAATAGTAACCGATATAATAACGCTTTGGGGTTTATGCCGGATGGATCTATTTAATTGGTTGGATACGACAGTATAAATGTGGTATGTTAGCACTATATATATCATATTATATTAATGTGGGAAATAATAAGAGAAAAAAATCTTTAAAGTTTCTTTGATAACACATGCACAATCACATATGAATTATAATTATCTATAATTTAACTAGCTGTAATTTAACTAGCTACAGAAATCTATTTAGGAATTATTTGATAAGAAATATTAATTAAAGTCTGATCTTACACTTTTCAGCTCAGCCTTCGCGTTAAAAACACAGATCTATATACAAGACCAAAGGACGTAAAATTTGCAGTTGGTATGATAGTGACACATCAACCTACAGATTGTGCCGGCGTAATAGTAGGATGGCACCGACATTTTGATAGACATCTTGTTACATTCTCCGCAAAGAGTGTGCCGAGTCCTTATATGCACATATATGAACTGCCGTTGAATCACTGTCGTAATTGTAATTTTATAGAGAAACAAACAAATTACATAATTCTTACGGAAAATAATAAAATGTATTATGTGGAAGAAGGTATGTATATCAGCAGACGCGTCTTTATTTAAAATTATATTTGTTTATTCTGCGAGCTTATCTCTTTTTTTGTACACAAAATAAAATAACATTTTATTTTATTTTGGTTTATTTTGTTTCTTTTTTTAATTTAATTATTTTATTTATTTTAGTTATTATTTTATTTCATTTGTTATTTTGTTTATTTTAGTTATCATAAATCTATTTTTTATTTGCATTTTTATTTTAGATGCTATAACTTTAAAACGCCGAGATGGATCGATAATAATGAAATAGGTCGCTATTTTTATAAATTTGAGGGCACGCATTACGTAACAAATAAAATGCTGGCGAAACTTTACCCGCAGGATACAGCTATAACTGCATTGCAGTAATATTGCAGCAACATTGCAACATAGCAGCAATATTGATGCATCTCCACGTACTAAATGTTTTTCTTTATTGCTTCTTGTATGTTTTCTTGTCCTTCTCTTTTTATTTTTTGATGATATATTCGTAAACCTTTCTTTTTAATTTTCTGTGCAATTCGTATTTCTTAAGCGTATATATCAACTGTTATATCTCACAGATTTGTATGTGTCAATTTTATTTTAATATATAAATATTATTATCATTAATATCATATTGGTAAAAATATTGTGACTGACAATTTTAATCTTAACCAACTCTAGATAAAACACATGTATAACTATATTACATGCCTGTTTTGAATCTCCCATCGTCTTTAATTATATTTCATAATCGTTTTTAATTATATTCGAAAATATTAAATATACATAACAGATACATAGATGTATATTTTTAAATATATGTTTACGTAGATAAAATAATTTAGGAGACGATATATTCCATCGTAGCAACATTTATTGCTAGACGTGTGACGCAAGTACTTATTTAAGTGACAAATCGAACGCGTACCCTTCCTAAAAAATGTTTCTAAAGAATATGATGTTATATTTATAATATGTTTTGCAATCAACATAGAGGATGATTTGTTTATACACAGTCGAATATTTTTAAATTTAATTTCTATATTCTCAAATAGTTCTTTATTCTCAACAATTTAACAATAAATATAGATTCTTTTTTTTGGGGCCATTTTTTTAATATATATTTATATATTTGCCACTTGATCACGTATGCATAAAATGAAATTATTGAAATGCATTTGAGCGTAAAATTTATATTGGGCCTATATAATTTTTTTAAAACGTGGGAAGATCAAATAAATGAATAAAAATTAAATAGGAAATTCGGAATAAAGAATTTGCTTAGTTTTACGAGATTAAAATCGGGTCGAATATAACAATATATAAATAAAAATATTATAAAAATTGATGCTAAGTTTTAATTTTGCATTTTCTTTTATCAAATTAATACGTTCGCCAAATATTGAATGGTAGATTTATGAGTGCGTTGGTGAATAAAACGATATTGCTTAACGTTATAGCTTAATATCGAAATAATTCTTTCTCTGTCAGCATTTAGTTGATTATATTTCCTTGTAATTTGTCAGAATAAATATTTCGACGCAACTATACACAAAAAAGATGTCAAAATAAATAAAGTTTAATTGAAATCAGCCAAGAAATAAGATACCTTTATGTATCTTTCAACCTCGTTTTCTTTTTTAATTTATCCAGTCACAGTTTAAAAACTATTTATGCCTCGATACTTTTGTTCAGATAAAATTATTTTGGCTGAGACAGAAAGTACTGCTAAGAAATGTAGCCTCCTATTATCAAATAGCGTCACGTGAAAATGTATTTAAGCCAGTCTTAGTTATAGAATTAGGTGGAATCATTCTATTGCGGTGGCAGATAACTCCGATCGACGTTAGTTTTTGCTGGCGTGATGCCTGCTGGTTCCGGAAGTCTGATGGGATGTCCCGTTTCTCCGGTCGCAACAGCGCCTAGCCTGAATTCAGCCCGATATCCATTTTCGTCAGCGGTGTAGCTAGCGAATGCAAAGATTACCTTATGTTATGCTTTCTTATATCTTCCTTAGAGAAAATATACGCTTCTGCGTTTTTAATTAAGACCTTATTAAAATTAGACGTAAGAACTATCTTATTCTTTAAATTAAAAAAGTTGCAAATGCCAAACAATAACAACAAAAATTTAAACAATTAATCGACTTACATTCAAATATCAATCTTAAATAATTTTCGACATTTATTGATCCAAATCCAAACTCCATTTTTTTTATTTAAATAGAAGTCGAATATCCGAAGAACTTTGACTTTACATTGAGATTCAGCTGACAACCACTCAAACTTACAATCAGAAACACTTAGATATATAAAATCTGATTTATATAAATAATTAAAACAATTAAATAATTAAGGGGAAAGTAAGGTAAAACTGGGTACTTCTTTGGATTTTTCTTCCTACAAAAAATCACAAATAAAGATACATTCTCGCTCTAATTAATTTCTCTATTATAATTTCTGGCATAAGTCTTCAAAAATAAATATGGCCAAGAATTAATTTTATTAATAATATATCACAGCATGGCCAGAAGACTTGGTCTATGTTGCGATGTAATACGTTTGGGTTCTCCTACTTCTCACTTCTTTATCGTTTGGAAACCAAACTTGTAAGTATAATATTAGAATTGGACTTACATCTGAACTATTCGGTAATTATCTTTATACTTTTATCATACGTACACATATGTATATAGTTTTTTATTGTTTACAGTGCCACGTATAGTTCAAGAAATGCAAGATGTTTTAACATAAGTTTTAAGAAATTCTTGCCTTATTATCTTGGTGTCAGGGAACTGCTATACAGGACGCATTCAAATTTTGAATACCTCGATGAATTAAGAGTTGGACGGGTTGGCAATTACTCATACATAATTTTTATTAAGTTTAACACTAATCAATAAACTTGTAATCTTGCAAAGATAGAAGTCAATGAAACACGTTTAATAAGCAGAAAGAATTATACAATATTTGATTTTTTCATTTGTAATCAGAGCTCTGTTCACACGTTTAATCTTAGCTCATGTTTAATCCTTATTTTCAGTTTTGGCAAGAATTAATATTGTTAGCATTGGTAAATAGTAACCGATATAATAACGCTTTGGGGTTTATGCCGGATGGATCTATTTAATTGGTTGGATACGACAGTATAAATGTGGTATGTTAGCACTATATATATCATATTATATTAATGTGGGAAATAATAAGAGAAAAAAATCTTTAAAGTTTCTTTGATAACACATGCACAATCACATATGAATTATAATTATCTATAATTTAACTAGCTGTAATTTAACTAGCTACAGAAATCTATTTAGGAATTATTTGATAAGAAATATTAATTAAAGTCTGATCTTACACTTTTCAGCTCAGCCTTCGCGTTAAAAACACAGATCTATATACAAGACCAAAGGACGTAAAATTTGCAGTTGGTATGATAGTGACACATCAACCTACAGATTGTGCCGGCGTAATAGTAGGATGGCACCGACATTTTGATAGACATCTTGTTACATTCTCCGCAAAGAGTGTGCCGAGTCCTTATATGCACATATATGAACTGCCGTTGAATCACTGTCGTAATTGTAATTTTATAGAGAAACAAACAAATTACATAATTCTTACCGAAAATAATAAAATGTGTTATGTGGAAGAAGGTATGCATATCAGCAGACTATTTAAAATTATATTTGTTTATTCTGCGAGCTTATCTCTTTTCTTGTACACAAAATAAAATAACATTTTATTTTATTTTGGTTTATTTGTATGTTAGCACTATATATATCATATTATATTAATATGGGAAATAATAAGAGAAAAAAATCTTTAAAGTTTCTTTGATAACACATGCACAATCACATATGAATTATAATTATCTATAATTTAATTAGCTGTAATTTAACTAGCTACAGAAATCTATTTAGGAATTATTTGATAAGAAATATTAATTAAAGTCTGATCTTACACTTTTCAGCTCAGCCTTCGCGTTAAAAACACAGATCTATATACAAGACCAAAGGACGTAAAATTTGCAGTTGGTATGATAGTGACACATCAACCTACAGATTGTGCCGGCGTAATAATAGAATGGCACCGACATTTTGATAGACATCTTGTTACATTCTCCGCCAAGAATGTGCCGAGTCCTTATATGCACATATGTGAATTGCCGTTGAATCACTGTCGTAATTGTTATTTTATAAAGAAACAAACAAATTACATAATTCTTACCGAAAATAATAAAATGTGTTATGTGGAAGAAGGTATGCATATCAGCAGACTATTTAAAATTATATTTGTTTATTCTGCGAGCTTATCTCTTTTCTTGTACACAAAATAAAATAACATTTTATTTTATTTTGGTTTATTTGGTTTCTTTTTTTAATTTAATTATTTTATTTATTTTAGTTATTATTTTATTTATTATCTTATTTTATTTGTTATTTTGTTTATTTTAGTTATCATAAATCTGTTTTTTATTTGCATTTTTTATTTTAGATGCTATAATTTTAACAACGCCGAGATGGATCGATAATAGTGAAATAGGTCGCTATTTTTATAAATTCGAGGGCACGCATTACGTACCAAATAAAATGCTGGCGAAACTTTACCCGCAGGACACAGCTATAACTGCACAGCAACATTGCAGCAATATTGCAGCAACATTGCAACATAGCAGCAATATTGATGCATCTTCACGTACTAAATGTTTTTTTCTATTGCTTCTCGTATGTTTTCTTGTCCTTCAATTTTTATTTTTTGGTGATATATTCGTAAACCTTTCTTTTTAATTTTCTGTGCAATTCGTATTTCTTAATTTTTTGACAACATTTTTTATTAACATTATCAAAAACTGTTGATACATTGAGTTGACTCACAGACGTAGCAATATTATTGAATTATTCTATATTCGCGTTATTGTTAGTAATATAATAAAAATATATTGTATTAAGCGTATGTATCAACTGTTATATCTCACAGATTTGTATGTGTCAATTTTATTTTAATATATGAACATTATTATCATTAATATTATATTGGTAAAAATATTGTGACTGACAATTTTAATCTTAACCAACTCTAGATAAAACACATGAATAACTATATTACATGCCTGTTTTGAATCTCCCATCGTCTTTAATTATATTTCATAATCGTTTTTAATTATATTCGAAAATATTAAATATACATAACAGATACATAGATGTATATTTTTAAATATATGTTTACGTAGATAAAATAATTTAGGAGACGATATATTCCATCGTAGCAACATTTATTGCTAGACGTGTGACGCAAGTACTTATTTAAGTGACAAATCGAACGCGTACCCTTCCTAAAAAATGTTTCTGAAGAATATGATGTTATATTTATAATATGTTTTGCAATCAACATAGAGGATGATTTGTTTATACACAGTCGAATATTTTTAAATTTAATTTCTATATTCTCAAATAGTTCTTTATTCTCAACAATTTAACAATAAATATAGATTCTTTTTTTTGGGGCCATTTTTTTAATATATATTTATATATTTGCCACTTGATCACGTATGCATAAAATGAAATTATTGAAATGCATTTGAGCGTAAAATTTATATTGGGCCTATATAATTTTTTTAAAACGTGGGAAGATCAAATAAATGAATAAAAATTAAATAGGAAATTCGGAATAAAGAATTTGCTTAGTTTTACGAGATTAAAATCGGGTCGAATATAACAATATATAAAAAAAAATATTATAAAAATTGATGCTAAGTTTTAATTTTGCATTTTCTTTTATCAAATTAATACGTTCGCCAAATATTAAATGGTAAATTTATGAGTGCGTTGGTGAATAAAACGATATCGCTTAACGATATAGCTTAATATCAAAATAATTCTTTCTCTGTCAGCATTTAGTTGATTATATTTCCTCGTAATTTGTCAGAATAAATATTTCGGCGCAACTATACACAAAAAAGATGTTAAAATAAATAAAGTTTAATTGAAATCAGCCAAGAAATAAGATACCTTTATGTATCTTTCAACCTCGTTTTCTTTTTTAATTTATCCAGTCACAGTTTAAAAACTATTTATGCCTCGATACTTTTGTTCAGATAAAATCATTTTGGCTGAGACAGAAAGTACTGCTAAGAAATGTAGCCTCCTATTATCAAATAGCGTCACGTGAAAATGTATTTAAGCCAGTCTTAGTTATAGAATTAGGTGGAATCATTCTATTGCGGTGGCAGATAACTCCGATCGACGTTAGTTTTTGCTGGCGTGATGCCTGCTGGCCCCGGAAGTCTGATGGGATGTCCCGTTTCTCCGGTCGCAACAGCGCCTAGCCTGAATTCAGCCCGATATCCATTTTCGTCAGCGGTGTAGCTAGCGAATGCAAAAATTACCTTATGTTATGCTTTCTTATATCTTCCTTAGAGAAAATATACGCTTCTGCGTTTTTAATTAAGACCTTATTAAAATTAGACGTAAGAACTATCTTATTCTTTAAATTAAAAAAGTTGCAAATGCCAAACAATAACAACAAAAATTTAAACAATTAATCGACTTACATTCAAATATCAATCTTAAATAATTTTCGACATTTATTGATCCAAATCCAAACTCCATTTTTTTTATTTAAATAGAAGTCGAATATCCGAAGAACTTTGACTTTACATTGAGATTCAGCTGACAACCACTCAAACTTACAATCAGAAACACTTAGATATATAAAATCTGATTTATATAAATAATTAAAACAAATAATTAAGGGGAAAGGATCGTGAACGACCAGGTGAAAAAGTTTGTCTTTCCTCTTGTTTTCGTTCTGCAACATAATGTCCAAGTGTCCGTACATGTTTGGCAAAAAAGAAGAAAGAATTTTATTTTTTAAGAGGATGCAATCGTTGTCAATCAGGCGATTGCCAAGAAGACAGCAGAGTGGAATGCAAGTAATACTAGCGCACATCTCATGTGCTACAATGGATGTTTATGTATTTATTGTTACCTTTATTCAAAGTTTCATATAACTCATACGACGTGGAATCATTTTTGCCTTCAAATCTCATCAAGTTTCTATAGATTTTCTGTGACGTGCCATATATTTCTTCGTTGCACGTGGAGTTAAGTTGAAGCTTGAAAGATGAAGCGATGAGCATAAGTGCACAAAACCATAACACGAGATTTTTTCCGCACATCATCAACTTTTTTATGTTAAATTATTTGGAGAAAAATAATTTTTCTTTTTTTACATTAATTTCATTGTCAGATCATACTCTAGCATTAATTTCGCTTTTTTTTTTAATTGCAAAGGCAAAGTTATTTATGATATCGTTAATCTATTGATTTGAACGTGACAGCGACATTATTATCTCAACAAAGATTGAAATCACTGCTCGCGAATACACTGCAAGAAAAGCGCACGAGTAGCATACGTACTAGCGCGAGTGTTATGACGAAACTACAGTAAATAACGAATTATCTATAATGTTGAAGAAGCACTCTATCTGCTGTGAAATCGTGTATACAAGATGATTCAAAGAGAAAACTTTATAATAAACTTTTATACATAATAGAGATGGATTAATTCAACGATATCATAAAGGACGTTTAGCCGCTTAGAACATTAATATGCAATAAAACATCACTACATTTTCGATAATACTATAGTATCTAAGAACAGCTTTATGGAACGATTAAAAAAGACGCAAATAATGAATATTTTATACTTATATTAATTATATGATGCTTTTGAAGAATTTATCTCGAAAAATAATTAATCAGCAAAGCAAGAAAAATCTACTTTATTCTGCCTATAATCTTACTTTATAGATGATAATATGTTTGTTAATAGCTGATAGTAAATATTAGGTAAGATCCGGTTTGCAATTGCCCGTGTCTCACATGGCGCGCATCAGCGCATAAATCATTAATAATTATTTTTAGAAAACATCGAAGATAGCAATGATGGCGTCGACATGTTCTCGGATTATTATCTTGATTTTGCTTTTAGAGAAAAGGTGCAAATGTCAAGATATAAACATGTGAAAGACAAAGATGCTCAGTAAGAAATTTAAAGTTGCAACGATTTTGTATAAATGTATTTTATGAAGTATAAGGAATAATAGTATAAAATAAATGTTACTCACATAGTAATTTATTTGTATTATAAATAATTGAAATGTTTTAGC